GATATTCGTATTGGTTGCATTGCAATTTATGTGTCAAGTTCGCTGATCAAAATTTTACCGATACGCATTACGTCGGAGGGCATTGCGGGAGATCCATTTTGAAAAAAATAATTCTCCCACACGGTTTTTGGTTTTAAAAAAATTGGCCCTCGAAGGTCTAGTGTATCCTTAAAAGCCAATTCTCCTTTTCTGTCTGTAACATATCTCTTATACTGGTATAGTTTTCGTTTTTGGGAGTGAAAGGGTTAGCTGCAGAAGGATATTTGTCTGAAAAAACTTTTGTGTTTTTTAAACATTGAACGTATGAAATAGAGAGAAGGTCGAACAAAAGAGGCCATTTTCTGCCAACAACATGTTTTAGAGAAAAGAAAAAACCTCCGACCACATTTTTGTTTTTGTCCGAAAAAGACTGCGGGCCTACACCTTCTGTACTTTTAAAGAAAGGACAATTATCTCCTGCCATAGAACACAATGTTAAGTTACTTGTCATTCCAATTTGCATTCTTTTTCACGCAAGCACTTTGTTAAGGTGGATGGTACCAGTTTTCATCTTTTTGATGGTTTGTAACTTTGAAAGAATACAACAGAAAGACTTACCAAGGCCAGTTGAACACTTTTACGGGGTTGAATTATATAATCACTGGTTATCCAAAAATAGGTGTCATTTCGTCACTAGCAGTTTCCATGGCAACGCTTTCATAGGGTTATTGAGACGCATTTTTTAGCTTCTGGCTAAAGTAATTCGAAAACTAACCCGGTGACCCCGTGATTTTTTTCAGTGATTGCTTTTGGCACTTGAAAAGGAAAATGCACAAAGATTTTTAACAAATTCTACGGAGCGGAATTTCAGAAAATCTAGAAACGAGGCAATTTTCACATATCGCAAATTTCTTTCCGTAGAATTTTCTAGTTTCTTTCCTGATGATTCCTTTCGACGTTATTATCATATTGGAACAATAAAAAGAAGGGGTCACCGGACTTGTTTTCATGCAATAGCTTTTGTGAGTTTAGCAATTTCCACGCGCGTTCTCGCGCATTTAACAATCTGGATTCTATAAGATCGACATTTGCTCATGATCTGTTATAGCTACCGCTGGCAATTGCGTGTGCTCGCGCGAGCGCCTTCGATCTGATGTTTACAGACGTAAATTCGCGTTTACTGCTAAGAAAATCATTAAACAGCTGTCAAAGACAGCCTCCCGGGCTCATCTTGAAAATCCTACACTTGACTTCTGGCTACATCATATTATTTTCCTTGAAGTTTCAAAGTCTTCTTCCACTGGCGATCGGTTGTGTATTTTCGTCGTCTTGGCTTTTGCTGACCCGTTTGATCTTTCTGACATCCTCTGGACGACAAAATGATTTTAGTAGTTTTTCCACTGACTCGTTTTATCTGCCTATGAAGTTTGGCTCTCCTGTGGTAAATTTTTCGCTGAATTTTCATCACTCCTCTTCGAGGAATCATGTCCGCCATCTTGCCTTTGCTACACGTAGGAAAAGATATCTAAACTTGCGGGTGAGCTACTATGCAAATTCCGACAGCAGTTTCCAGCAAACTCGTCTTTTCAAAAGCGGCGACGTTTCTCTCAACCCTGGTCCGATTTCTCATAAATGCTCAATCTGTAGACGAACCGTGGCTCGAAACCATCGAGCTATAAGCTACGACTCGTGCTCTCTATGGTGCCATATAAACTGTGGAAGTGTAAATCCCCGCCAGTATAAGCTGATGCAACAAGCCGGTAATATCTGTTGGACTTGTCCTCGCTGCCTTCTATCCACGTTACCTTTTTCCGACGTCAGTGACGCTGAGCGTGTAAATCACTTCTCCACAATAAACTCCGCACAGACCACCGAAACTATGGCCCGCTTCTTCGTTCTTCTTCTGGCGCCAGCCTTCCAAAGCCCACCTCTGGACCAGGAAGGCTTCGTTGCTTACTCACAAATGCTAGATCGCTGAAAAACAAATTGCTGGATTTTCAAGCTGCAGTTTATAGTGCTGACCTGGATATCATCGCTGTTACTGAAACATGGCTTAACTCATGTATTCTTGACCATGAAATCCTTCCTTCAGGTTACCAGCTACTCAGGAAAGATCGTCAGGATCGTCAAGGTGGAGGAATTCTGTTTACATCACGGAATGATTTTGTGGTAGTCAGAAGATACGATCTGGAAACTGATTGTGAGCTAATGTGGAATGAACTGCAAACTGCCTCTGGTCTTAAGCTCCTGTTTGGTGTCTTCTACCGTCCCCCAAATACTGGTATAGAATACATGCTTCTCCTTCAAGAATCTTGCTCCCGTATTAACAACTTGACTTTCAATAAGATTTTCCTCGTTGGAGATTTTAATCTGCCGAACTTTGACTGGATAAATCAGATACCCCTCTCCACTGATCAACTTTACCTGAAGACCTACGAAATCATAAACGACCTATTCCTCACTCAAGTAAATACTTCTGCCACTCGTGGTAAAAATATTCTGGACTTGGTTTTGACTTCTACGCCTGACTTAGTTACTGATCTGTCCTTGAGTGCGGGTTTCTTACATTCCGACCACCTCAGTATATCCTTCAGTATCTCTATCAAACCTACATGCTTCAGAGCCACGCCAAAAGAAATTTTAAACTAATTCAAAAAAGCAGACATGGATGAACTGAGGAGAACCCTGTCCTATATACCTTGGCATGTTGCTATGTTAGATGATGACATAAATTAAACATGAACGTAATTAAGTGGGAGGACCTTTACTGGGCAGCAGTGAATGAATTTGTTCCTCGCAAAAGGGTCAGGGACAAGCAGACACCCCCCCTGGATGGACTCTGAAGTAAAGGCACTGTGTAGAAAAAAGGACAAGGCCAGTCGAAGAGCATTGAAATAAAAAAACCAAGACCATATCGACAATTTTAAATCTCTTAGAAGAAACGTAAAGAAACTGATCCACAAAAAGTACACTGACTACCTCAATAACCTTGCTGATTCTGTTAAAAAGGAACCCAAGAAGTTCTGGAGCTTTTATAGCACTAAAACAAAATCTAGAAAACTTCCACTGGCATTAAAGAGAAACAAAGAGGACAAAAACCCAGTCACGTCATCCTTTGCTAAAGCAAATCTCTTTAATGAATACTTCCACTCAGTTTATAGTCATGCTTATGCTGAACCTCCACCACCAGGATCTCACCCTGTTTTACCTATTCATGAAATTTCAACTGTGGCTGTTTCTGTTTCTGAGGTAAAATCCATCTTCGAAAACCTGGACCCATCAAAAAGTCCTGGACCAGATGGCATAACTGCCAGGCTCTTGAAAGAGTGTTCTTCTGAAGTAAGTGACTCGATTACATCAATGTTCAACCAGTCATTAACAAGTGGTGTTTTCCCAGAGAAATGGAAAGACTCAAACCTCACCCCTGTTTTTAAATCTGGTCAAAAAGATGTAATTACCAATTATAGAGGTATCTCACTTTTGTCCATTATGTCAAAAGGACTTGAAAGATGTGTCCATACCCACATTTACAGCCATGTCGAAGACCTTCTTCACCAGAACAACATGCTTTCAGAAAACATAAATCTTGCGTTACCCAACTTGTTCAATATATCCATTCACTGGCAAAAACACTTGACTCGGGTGGTCAAACTGATGTCATATACCTGGACATGGCAAAAGCTTTTGACCGGCTACCACATGAGAAACTTTTGTATAAACTCGAAATGCTTGGTTTTCGAAATTTATTATTAGCCTGGATCAAAGACTATCTTACAAATAGACGTCATAGAACCCTCATCGAAGGCATTGCGTCAGACTGGAAGCCAGTTACTTCCGGAGTTCCTCAGGGATCTATCATTGGCCCCATTCTATTTCTTGTATATGTAAATGACATTGCGGAAAACCTTTCTACTGGTACCAGTCTTCCCCTCTATGCAGATGATGCAAAGTGTGCCAGAGTGATTAACGACCTTAATGATTGTTACACCCTCCAAAACGATCTGTCAGCTCTACATGATTGGAGTAAACTATGGGAAATGAACTTTAATTCACAGAAATG